TTCAGGCATGTCAAGTAAGGCTTAAGAACATCATTAATTAAAAAATTAGCCACTGTAGTCAGGCATTGTGAAACAGATCTGAAAAACAAACAATGTGCATTAAGATCAGATAATGAAAAGATTGAACAAAGTCCATTATACACAACATAGATGAATGATGAATTTTTAACATTAAAATGGCCACCATTTGGCCATCTTTAATCCGATTGCCCAAATAAATATTTCTGAATATGTGCAACATGATTATCTATGAAGTTTGAACATTATTAGTTAGGGAATGTCGGAACAAGCATTTATTAAATCAAAATGTCCACCAATGGCCATTTTGAATCTGAAAAATAAAATGATGTGCATCAATGTATAATATGTTCAATGTACATACATATGTACACAAATTTGAATGAAATTCAAGCATACATGACTGAGACCAGCTTCGGAATGCTTGATTTTGGCACCATCCAGCCATGAAATGAATCATGAAACAAAAAGATGTGCAAATATGTGATATATTTGTGAAGTTTGAATGTAATCAATGTTTATATATTTGTAAACATTTTTCATGAAAATAATGTGTATTCAGAGTTGACATTTTAATTTGCATCCAACAGAGATTTATTTAAACATTTGGTGCATGATATAGGATGAAACAAATCATAAAAGAGGGTGAGTACCAATATTATGTTATTCATCAGAATTACTAAAATGGTTTTCTGAAAAGTCTAAAACAAAGGTGTGTGTTGCCATGAAGTCACTGCATGGTCACATGCTAATAATAGTTCACTAAATACGATTTCTTAATAAAATTTCATATGAATTAAATTCTTACTCCAGAGGGTCCTCCATATTTGCTGGTTTTATGATGAATGTCATTCCATACAACGGTATTGTTACATCCAGTTGTCACTGAAGTACCAATAATGAAAGTCAATTTACGTTCAAATGCCAACTTCAATAAACGTAACACTTCACGGCCTTCACGGTTGTCAGGGAGATAGGCAGTACGACTTGTACCAGAATAGCTGCTCCCAGGACTAGGATCATTAGCCTAAACAGAATATATAAAAAGAATTCCAAAAAAATAAACTTCATTATGTAAGGGACTGAGAAACATACATTAAATTCGTCTCAGACACATAACACTTAAGTTTCTATTGTATATATGGATGCTGACTTCAAACAATATCTGACAGATATGAGCTGCAATGATCACTACAACTTTAAATTTGGAGAACAAAAACAATCTTACCCCCTGCCATCCAGATGGAAAATAGTATTCAATCTTAATGGTATCACATCCCTGATAGCCAGGAAGACTTGATCTCATCACATAATTATTCATCGTTCCTTTTGGCATGTTACCTGTGATAAGTCCAAATGGTTTCTTACATACAGGACACGAAGGTCCTCTAATTTTCTCAGCATGATCAATACATTCCTTGCAGAACCGATGTTTACAGGGCAATGTCTTAGGATTGGTAAATGTATCAATACATATAGGACAGTTATTATCCTCATCACTTTTAGCTTCACT